GCTGGGATTGGAAACTAAGAGTCTAGGCAGTCACAGGATTATGAATGACAGACTTAATACCTGCTAGGGCACCAGTTTCACCAAAAAAAAAATTGTCATGTTTACAATTAAATTGATATGTTATTTCTTGAATTCACCTAGTTTAGTTCTGTCTTAAAATTTGTCTTTTTTAGATGTAAATAACCATTCTGTAATGCCCCTACCCAATGCTAGTTCCATTAGCAATATGAGAATTACAATAACTTGTCTGTGGTGAGAGAAAATACAGAGCACAACTATTAGAACCAAGTAATCTTATTATAGTTCTTTAAAAGTAAGCCACCATTAAATGATTTTTTGAGAAATGTCTGATGTCTTTTAGTCTGCTGTAAAATGTAGGCTAAATCTCTCTTATTTTACACCAAGAAATATTTAGGGGAAAAGTAGTTAAGGAGATGGTTGTGTCAGTTAATGTTAGCAGGTCGTCAAAAATGTCATTAACCATTTTTATATGCCTAGCTATCTGATACTGGTACTTATACCTGTGTGGCCACAAGTTCCAGTGGGGAGACATCTTGGAGTGCTGTGTTAGAGGTGACAGGTAAGTCACATATTGAGCTTGTTTGGCACTTGGCACAATATGAAAGTGCTCACTGTCTTACAGCATTGTGAGTCAACAAGAAAAATCACTGTGTTAAAAGGTTCTAAGATTGAGACTTCTAGGCTGCATCCAGATGAGCATGGCCATTTGGTTACCCAGGGACAAATAGCAGCAGTGCACCTTGCACCACCACTACTTCTTCCTGGGGAACTCCTGTGCCATGCACATTTTAGTGTGCGGCAGGTTACCCCAGGTCGGGTAGGAGAGGCAGGGGCCAGCACTGTGCTGGCCAGAGCATGGGTCCAGGTGGCCCAGCTTCACTTTTGAGTGGTGCTATCTCTTAACATACTATCTCTTAATATACTTTTCATCCTATCACTTTCTTTGGCATCACAGCAACCAAAAATGCATGCCTCAAATGGTAGCACTAAATTCACGTATATTAACTCAAGATATATGTTGAGTCACTGCAATATGGATTGGTACCGTTGTGTTGACTAAATTGAATATACTTTTGTTGTATCTTTATTCTCTCTTTTATTTTAACAAAAATTACACAATCAAGGGGGGAAGAATTCAATATTTTATATTTCTCCCTTTCAGAGTCTGGAGGAGCAACAGTCAGTAAAAATTATGATATAAATGACCTTCCTGGACCACCATCCAAACCTCAGGTCACAGATGTTACCAAGAACAGTGTCACTTTGTCCTGGCAGCCAGGCACCCCTGGAAGCCTAGCAGCTAGTGCATATATCATTGAGGCTTTTAGGTATGTGAATTATTCCACTTCTAATCTCTTTCTTTTCTAACTTTGTTTAAACCCTAGTGTCTCCTGATATGGAAATACATTTATGGACATCTGCAAATTCAGTGAACTCATTAAAGACTTTATCTTTGATGGCAAGAAATACATTTTTAATCTTCATGATTTTTTTTTTTCTTATTAGCCACCCATTTCCAAGTAAAAAGGTTAGACAAGTGCTTGACTATTTCTTTAGGTCAGTAGTAGGTTAGCTGGGCTATGTGTTCACTCATCCTTTTTTCTTAATCCTGATCATTACTAAGCATTTCCAGGGAGAATGGTGATATTCAAGTTAGATAATGTAATAGGAAATTGTTTAATTGGGGTTGTGCAAACCAGAAAAAAATAATTAAGATTCCCTAAGCCTTGCACATTTAATGTAAGCCTTGGTCTTCAAAAAGCAGAAACTGAACAGAATACAAATATTTTAATTTCCTGTATATTAATGCTATGGAAAATGAAATATAGCATTCAGAAAGCAGACATCGGATCACTGAGAGATCAGTCCATGTTCTGTAGTTCCTAGGATTGCAATGCTCATCCTCATGGAGAAGTAAGCCGGATTCAGAAGGTTATTTAAGCGTAAGCCCAATTTTATCCATGTATCAATGGGCTGCTTATTTGCTTAAAGTTACGCACATGCTTGAGCAATTTTTTAATCAAAGTACATCATTTTCTTCAAAGTAATGAATATGTAAGGTGACCTAATTTTCTTTTTAATTAGTACATTTTAGAATTTAGAAGTAAATCAAAATGTAGAAAAGCTAAGAAAGTCCAAATGCTGACTACTCTTCCTGTATATATGCATAGGAGTCATTTCTAAACCTAAATGAAAAATAATTCTATAACTTCCAATGTGCTTATTTTCTAACATTCTGATTGTTTATACAAAATAATTTAAACAAAATAGTGGCTACCTTTCCATCATTTTTCCATTTGGTTTGATTAAAGACTTTGTAATGAATAATAGAAGATGGACAGCTATGGATTCAAATTCTCTCTTTAACCTTAGTAAAGGTTCCCATTTGACCTTGGATAAACTACGGTGACATCCCATCAATGACTCTAACAAAAGCTGTATATTTATATTAAGAGCTATTTTAGCAATCATACGAGGTATCTACAGCTGCAAAGAGTTGTATTCTCTGTATAGAGCAGTCAGATCAAAAGCTTAACTACAGGAAAAACATTCATACATTTTTCTTCTTTTACAGATGTATTTTAGAAAGGCTCTTTCGTAATTTTGAATATGGATTTTCTTTCAGGAGGACAATTTATTGGTATAATTTACTCTGTAGTATAGAAAATTATTCTTTTAACAGGTTTATTCTTTTCAGAGGTTTATGTTCAAGAGGTTCCCATTTATCATTCAAATTTACCTTTTTCTTTTTCCCACGTCTGTTCCTTTTGCAGGTATTTATTTAGTGCAATATAATGTATTAGCAATGGCTTTCACTTCTGCTGGTTTGAAATATTTTTGATGGCACTATTGTTTTGCTTTATACTGTGACCTACATATCCTGATGAACTAATTGAAAACAGCAGAATTGTTTCTTTCACTGAGTTTAATAATTTTTCGAGTAGATATCCTTACCATGAGATTAATACCCAAATCAATTTTATAATGCTCTTTCCTTTTGCTTTAATCTGTAGTCTATAACTGTGTTTTTATTGCAGCCAATCTGTGAGCAATAGCTGGCAAACAGTGGCTAATCATGTAAAGACAACACTCTACACTGTCAGAGGACTCCGGCCCAATACGATTTATTTGTTTATGGTGAGAGCTATCAACCCTCAAGGTCTGAGCGATCCCAGCCCTATGTCAGATCCTGTCCGCACACAAGGTAATGACAGCTGCTAATGATGGCATGTTCCTCACTTGTTTCTTGGAATTCTGCTGTGTTCACTTTATAACAAAAAAAATAAGGAAAAACGCTGAAAAACAGTTCCGTTTGCGTGGTTTGTTTTGCTGGCTTTGCACCATTCTGGCCCAAGCACAACTAGCAGAGGAGAAAGGGACTCTCTTGATTAAGGTACCAGCTCAAGCCTTTGAGATACCAAAGTTCAGTTCCTTGTTACACCACGGGCCCTTTAGATGACTAGACACAAGTCAGGGCCAGATTCTTAATAGTGGCTTGGTGTCTCATCACTATTAAAATTAGCCACCTAAGCTCTTTTGAAAGGCCTACAAATACCTATCTCCATCCCTAGGACTCTAAATACCTTTAAAATCTGACCTTTAGGACTTATCTGTGCACTCTCCATGCCACACCAAGAAAAGGTGTAGTGTAACTGCCTTATGGTGACCCTGAATTCAAACTTTAGTATCATCTTAGGCTGTTGGACTTTAGGCTGTCCCCTCAGTGCATGCTCAGGAATACTATAAGCACATATACCACTTCATGTCAAGGGTTTGGCATGCGTAGAAACAGAACACATGGCCAAGGTGTAGATGACAGTGTAGATGAGCCCCTAATTTCTCTGTGCTTCCATATGTAAAAGGAGAATAATAGTGCTTCTGGCCTTCAAGTACATTTGTAACAATAAGTGCATTAAAGATCACTAAACACATGGGTACCATATATGTACAAACCCATGTTTACAACTATTTTCATGAAAAGGGTGGCACAAATTTGTTAGAGTATTAAAGTGCCTTAATATTTGAATAGGTATACATCTTAATGTTTATAGATGCTGAGAATTATATAATAAGAGGGAAAAAAGGATGTGTATTTATTAATTGATAGATTTATATGCTCTGTACATTCATCCACTGGTGCTAAACTAAAATGGGTGGCAGAAAGGAGCCCTCATTTTTGGGATAGCTAATGCAATCAAATAAGGTCCACTTATTTATTATTTTCAGTTATCTAGAGCTATGAGTTTGAAATGATATCATAGCTAAATGTTTGTGCTTTTGTATCCTGCTTGCTCCCCTTGTAGACATGTCTAATGATGAGTAAACCCCTCTGCAAAGCATAGAGGTGGCATGGCTCTGTTACCACATTGTCCAGGTTTTGCACGCCAAAGTATGAATCTCCACTTAACGCAGTGGAGCACAGTAATGAACTGGGATTGTAATAAGACTTGTTCCATAGCAGAGAAAATCCAAAATAATAGTTTTCTTCACAGTTCATCTAGGGCCCTATCTTCCTTTCTCTGGTATGTATGCACAATGGGCAAGGAGTTTGTAGGTAGCCTCTATCCCGGCATATCCTGTGTAATGGCCACTTAAGGTAGTAGTCGCTGTCCCGAAAAAGCAGGGCTAGGTGGAAACAGAACAGAGGCTTGACTCTTAAAGCACTGTCACAAATTCTTCTTTCCAGCCCCTTTTGCAAAATGGAGATCAGTGGCAGAGCTGAATGCCTCCCATTACACCAGCCCGTGTTCTGGAGTTAGTACTGTGATTTAGATCTGAACAAGAATGTTCTTTTTCTGCATCTGGAGGCCAGGGTGCTGCTGTTGCTTCTTCTTCCTTTTTTTTTTTTTGTCTGGCATACTGATCAGAGATGTAATTTTAATAGAAATAGGTTTTTTTTCCCCTTTAGCTCAAACATGTGTTATAGTTTCTATTTCCACAAGCTGTTCACCAGCCACACACATTGCAACATGTAGAATATTTATAGCCCCTTTGGTACTCTACAGTTTAATAGAATTAAATCATAAAATCAGTTTCGAATTAGCATAATGTTTTGATTTCATTTTTAATATTGCTTGAATTAAACTCAGGGTCCTGCTACACATTCAAATTAAAGCTGGACAGAAACCAGCTATAGAGTTGTTGCACATTTTAAGCACTAATTTTATATCTGGTTGGCTCTTTTTATCACTGGATATTTATTTTTATCATGTGATGATGACTTTGCATGTGTAGCTGGTCTTACTTTGCATGCGTGGTCTTCACAATTAATCAATTCATTGCATAATATATGTAACATGTAGAGGGGCCTCAGACTCGCAAATGAAGCAGGCATGTAATAAAATTCTTATTCAGACTAACCACTGCAAAGAAAAGAAGCAACTAAAGCAGTGATATCCAATATAATTTGCAGCACTTATGCAGGATACCCTTTATAGTTTAACAATTGGCTTCATGATATTAAATAAAAATATGGTAAATAACCATCAGCAGAACATTGATGGCTTGCAAATCATTACAACAAGCAAGAATTCCTTAAGCCATTAAGGACAGTACACTTCATTATCAGGATTATTAACAGAGCAAACTGTATGTTCATAAACACAGTTAAAGAAACATTGTTTAAATAATGTACTGAAATATAAATGTTTACCAGTTTCTAAGATTAAGTACATTATAATATCTAAATACATGGTTCTTGCTAGCATGTTGACCACTCAAAAATGTAGATACTGATTAAAATGGAACCATTTTAATCATGATGTTGTGATTGTCCTTCTGTCAGAGCAGATCTGGTTTAAAGTGCACACTCTTTTTCAGGCCACCCAGCTCTGGTGTCACGTTATTCAGGGTGGCTTGGATATTGTGTGATCTGTATCTGGGATTACCATGGTCTGACTGAACTTATCTAGGGCCAGCATCACATTTTTTAATGACTCCATCACATTTTTTTACATTAAAACACGACATCGGCCATATAGGAGTCCAATATATATAATGTGCGTGAGTACACGTGTGTGCATACTAAGTTTCAGTTTCAGTGGCTCTCCTGTTTCCTATGCCATCTTTCCGTAGCACAAAATCCCTCTTGCAAATTCCTTAAAATTCCCAAATGTCTCTTTAGCTACAAAGCAGCTAAGGAGTGTGGAAAGACAGCCTGTACTAGTTATGAGGTCTCCTCCTGTGAGTAAGTTCCACTAAACTAAACGTTGTGTGCTCATATGATGTGAGCTGTGAATGCCTCTTAAGGTTTTCACAACAATAAATCTCTAGTAGATCTTGGTTGCATGGCATGGGCGAGTTCAGAGATCTTGAGTCAAAGTGTTCAAAGTTAAGATCACTCTATAAACTTCCATTTAAAAGTTGGGCGGCTACCCCTTAAAAGGAAAAGCAATGGGAAGTTTAAAAAGGCTCCCAAGAAGGTGGTGAAGGGAAGAGATGCAAGAATATGTACTCTGCTATGAACAAATAACTGTGAATTGCTTAGCTGAGTCCCCCATCCTGAGGTGAGGAAGTCCAGGCCGTTTGGTTGAGAGGGATGTGTGGAGTGTAGCTTCTTTACATTTGAATAGTTCTGTTATGTTTTGACAATAAAACCCAATTGGTGAGGCTATAGAAATGACTCAAGAGTGGCTACCACTCCTGTTCCGTGCTGGAGAAACTGAAGCTTGGATTTCAGTGTGTTAAGGAAGCATTAGGATTGCACTGCTAAGCACCTTAGAGTCTGAAAATGACCAAGATCAGATTGCCCACATAATCTTACTCTCCTCCTTTGAGCCTTTAAGATACAGGTTATATGGCATTACAGATAAAACTGAAGAATGTCATATAATGTTTTCCTAAAGACTGAAGGAATTCAGCACCTTATATATTTTTTTATAAATTTTCTGTTCCGTGTATATCAGACAGCATGTTAAGTAAGATTATGTGAAAAGTCCCTCCACACACATAGTTTCAGAAGAACTGTAATAATATGCAATGGTGTGGTTTGGTTTTCAAAAAACTGTGGTTGTATGAGTTTGGAATGTCTGCTTTATGCCATACTTGTGAGCTGAGCAGAAGTATATTCAGCATAGCTCGCATATTTTACACAAATAAAATATATTAAAATATTCTAGACAGTATTATTTATTGATACTGTTTCTTATTATCTTCCCTCTGTAAAGCCAGATATTCTTAGTGCCATAAGCACCACAGGATAATGACCAGTGGCTAAGGAAAATTATAACTAATGTAATTTTAGAAACTTCTTTAAAGCAACCTAAAATATGTTTTCTGTGGCTCACAATGATGGGACTTTAAGAGTCAGTGTCTTGGGATCTCCCTGGGCTAGATGCAACAGTTTTCCAACTGAGAAACTCCTTTTCCCAGTAAAATAAAACTCTCATCTCTAACCTTGAAGGGTTGTACCTTAAAACAACTCATGAGAGCCATGGGACTCTTCAGCCTAGAAAAGTGCAGGCTCAGGGGTGATCTGGTGGCCACCTATACGTTTATCATGGGTGCTCACCAGGATCTGGGGGAATGTATGTTCAGCAGAGTACCCCAAGGGATGACAAGGTCGAACAGTCACAAATTCCTCCATGACCATTTCAGGCTGGACATACAGAAGAACTTCTTCTTTACTGTCCGAACCCCCAAGGTTTGGAATAGACTGCCGCTGGAGGTGGTTCAAGCACCTACTTTGAATGCCTTCAAGGTACATTTGAATGTTTATCTTGGTGGGATCCTATGATCCCTGCTGACTTCCTGCCCGTGGGGCAGGGGCCTGGACTTGATGATCCTCCGGGGTCCCTTCCAGCCCTAATGTCTATGAATCTATGAAATTTAACTACTGACTCAGAATTTACTGATGTCTGTTCTACATTACATCTCAGATAAATGTAACTTTTTGGGAAAGGAAGTACATATATTAGGAGGACATATTTCTTCTCTTTCAGATTGCTTTTGAAACAAATAGCAGCTCTCTGAGGCTGCTAACAGTCTGTAGCCTTTAGGAGAAGTAGGCAGAATGTACGCTGGGCAGCTAAAATTGTATGCACAATGCAGTTAATCATAGGGGCTCATCCCCACGTTCAGAGGCATGTATTTCCAGGGCCAGAGAAAGCAGTGGCATACATTTGTGCTGTTGCTTTGTACCCCAGGGCACACCCCTGCATGTGCACTCCAGCACACCAAATTGGTCCAGATAGGGTAGGGGAGGCT